CAGGAAAGAGAGAAAGGATATTTTCCAGTCTATTCTATGTCTGGGAATTTCAGCTCCCCATCTGTCAGCTTTCAACCTTGAGGACAAGGTTATTTTGAAGGAGGGTGGATTGATAGAGAGCGGGAAGAGCATGGGGCGGGACCGGGCTTGGGCTCACTTCCGTGGGCCGAGTTAGGGCTGTCTTTATAGTTTAATTATTATTATTAAGTTAATGTTATGTTTTAGTTTGGGCCTATTATTAGTAGAGTAGTTAGTTGAGTTAATTTGGGCTTAATTAGGGTTTAATTAATATGGGCTTGATTAGGGTTTCTTGTAGAAGACTATTTATACCCCTCGCCAGGGTTCATTCTTATTATCTTGGAACAAAGTTAGAGTTTAGCCTTTTGGCTTTGGGCAACGGTAATTTTATCGTTGATTATCTGGGCAACGGTTCACCCCGTTAATTTCTATTTTTCTGTTACATATCAGTTTCCCTAACTGACGTGACTCACAAAAGAACTCAGGAAAAAGGTGAAAAATCTGGTCTAAGTTGCTTGAGAACAGGTAAAGAAGGATGACCAAGCTGACAATGAGCTTCACGGACACTGGATTCACTTAAGTATGCCGAAGGAGACTGTGGAGCAGAAAAGCGATATAGGCCTTGAGACTCAAAACCTGTGTCAATCAACCGGTTCGTCCCTAGTTCCTGGACAACACAATGTGTAGGGAAGAAAGTTACTGAACAATTGTGCTTCTTGGTAAGCTGACTAACAGATATAAGGCTATATAATGCTATCTAGAAAGGTAGGAACATAAAGAACAGACGACAAGTTTAGGTTTGGTAAATTATTGGTGGATCCTATGCCCATAATTGGACAGGAAGAACCATTAGCAAGTTTAAAAGGGTTGTGAGTTATACTTGCATCTAGGTTGAGTATGAGGTTTTTGTTCCCAGTCATATGATCTGTAGCACCAGAATCAATAATCCAGGATGATGAGCAAACAGAAAGACAAGTTGAAGATATACCTGAGTGTGATGTATTAGCACGAGGAGTTGATGTTACCTGTCCAGAAGCTTCAGGGTAAACTTCTATTGTATCATCAATGGATGCTATTTGAGCACGAGGAGGACGCAGGGGTGGATGAGATCCAGGCGGTCGGTTTGGACAATTATACTTGGTGTGTCCATATTCTTTGCAGTAATGACACTGGATCTTCTTATTGGGATCATACTTCTGATTCACTACTTTTCCATTATTTCGGGCATTAAAAGCTGTAAAAGCAGATGCATCTGTACCAGTAGATGATTGTGTTACTGAACTGTCCGGATACATTTGTCGTGCAAGATGGTATGTCAAGGCTAGAGATTGAGAGGCAGTGTGACTCAGGAGCAAAGGGCGAGAATTTGAGTACTTGGGAGATAGCCCTGAAATAAACATCATCACATCCATTTTTGCTAACCGCTCCTCCTGAACTTTGACATCTGGAGTTACCGGGAAAAGAACACGCAGCTCCTCCGCTAATTTAGACAGCCTTGTATAGTATCAGTAAGGTCTGAGTCACCTTGCTCACATCTGAAATAAGATCCAAACACAGAGTACGTGTGGGAAATAGACTCTTTTGCTGAAAAGGAGGACTGCATGTGTTCCCACATCTTCTTTGTGGTAGGATAATTTTGAGCAATACTCAAAACTTGAGGTTCCATAGCGTTCCACAAAGCCATTATTATTCCACTATCATCAAGCTTCCCTTCTCGGGTTTTAGGATCACACTGGAAATGTCCGTCGGAAATAACAGTCCTGACTAGGGTTTGTCTTAAAGATGACTTTGACTAACATGTGAAATATATAATTTATATTCATTGTAGCTCATAATAAAATGCTATACAAGCAGCTCTATTTATAACTATATTAGAGCATTAGGGTTCCTATACTTAAATGGGATATTTGAGCATTAGGGTTCCTATACTTAAATGGGCTAAGCTCGATACAACTAGGGTTTCCACATATATATTGTGAAATAAATGTTTATATTCATTATACTTGAATACTTCATATTAAAACCCTATACAAATAAATCTATTTATAGCTAGATTAGAGCACTAAGGTTTCTATACACAAATAGGCTTGTTGAAATAAAGAATATAAACTGGAATAGGAAGAGAGAAGGATTTTCTATGTATTTCATTGGAGGTTACGTCCCCTATGAATATACATTACAAAGATAGAATATTCCTATAAGATTTTATACAATAATAATATTCTAAAGTATATTCTTAAAATATTCTAAAGCATATTCTAAAGTATATTCTAATATCTTTCACACTCCCCTTCAAGTTGGAGCATAGATATTTATCATGCCCAACTTGTTACATAAATAACCAACTCAAATTTCATTTAGTACTTTAGTGAACAAATCTCCATGTTGTTCTCCCTTCTTCACGGTAGAGATCAATCCTTTTTTGTATCTTTTGTCGAATAAATTGGCAATCGACCACAATATGTTTTGTTCAGTCATGAAACACCAGGTTGTTGGTAATATGATACCAACTCGGTTATCACACCACAGTTTAGCAGGCATTGGTGTCTTCAATCCGATTTCACACAATAAATGATTTATCCAGATTATCTAACATGTCAATCGTGCCATAGCACGATATTCTGATTCAACACTAGAATGAGAAACCACATTCTGTTTCTTACTTTTCCAGGAGACGAGATTACCACTGATAAAGACGCAATGCCCAGATGTAGATTTTCTATTGGTGTATCCATTGGTCTACACTCTAGAATACTTGTTTCTTCAAGAATGTCCAAGGCATATTTTCTTTGTTAGAAGGCAATTCCGTTTCGAGAGTGTGCGCCCTCAATGTCAAGGAAGTACCTTCGCTTTCCCAAGTCTTTTGTTTGGAATTTGCTAAAAAGATATTGCTTAAGGAGAGCAATTCCTTGTTCATCACTAACTGTATTGAGTACTATTGACAATATCATCAGCATACACAACAAGATAAATACATTTCTTTCCCGCATAATGTCTATAGAACATACACCAAACTTGAATCCCCCCTAAGCAAGGTATTTGCTTCATATAAATTTTTACTATTCAATTGAAACAAGGGTCAGTGACTCATTGCAACCACGGATAAAATCAAATGAACAGAAGCAATCTTGGCGATGGGAGAAAAAGTGTCAGTGTAATATAACCCATAAATCTGAGTGTACCCTCTCGCCACAAGGCATTCTTTAAAACGATCAATGTTACCATCAGGGCCAATTTGACAGTTTATATCCACCGACATCCAATAACTTATTTGCCATTGGAAAGGAAGACTAAGTCCCACGTCCCACTAGAATGAAGAGCCTCCATCTCAGCAAACATAGCTTTGCGCCATTGCGGATGTGCCAATGCCTTATGTGTGGTTTTACGGATGTAAATATGAGATAGGTGTGAAATGAAAGCAAAGTAAGGGGTAGAGAGGCAGTGATAACTCAAAACGTTATATATGGGATGTGGACTCAAAGTAGATCACGTACCTTTTCGGAGGGCAATGGGCAAATCATCCTAAGTAGGTTCATGTGTTAGAGTTGCTGATGGTGATGATGTTAAATCTGTGGTAGGGGAATCACGAGGCGTGGCCACAATAAGCTCAATGGAAAGAGGTCGATGATGCTGATGGTATACTTGTAATAGACAGTCTGCCATAGGATGAGAGTTTGGATGCTCATCAGATGTGAGGTTAATATGAGAATTTGGAATGATGGGTCAGAGATATGACGTGAAGTCCATAAATGAGGGGGTATCAACTGAAGATAATGGGTAATAAAAGGAAGACTCAATAAAAGTGGCATCGGCCGAAACAAAATGTTTCCTAAATAAAGGAGAATAACACAATAACCCTTTTGGAGTTGTGAATATCCAAGAAAAAATCATTTTATTGACCTAGCCTACATTTTAGATAACTCAAGTGTCGTATCATGGATAAAACACACACACCTAAACACATGAGGCTAAGCTAGGAAGTTTTCCATGTAACTTCCCACACCTGTCTTTAGTATGATCAATTTTATGACAAAAATTACACTAAGAACGGTTTTTTCGTGGGTATCCTTTGTTGGTGCCTACGTCAAGCCCTGAAGCAAATGTTGAAAAACAAGAACACATTTTTTTGCTTTTTTGTTTTCTTTTTCGTTTGTTTTTTTTTTTTTGCTGAAATTTAAATTATAATTTTGGGAGCAGTAAAAACTTCCCAAGACTGCTGACAAGAGCAGCGGAACACAGCAGGCTGGACAAGAGAAGCCCCACAGGGGTTATAAAAACAGACTTGCCCCTTGAGCAGCGGAACAACAGCACTGTTTAGCGGCAGCAGTGAGTATGGGTGGCGACAGGGTGGCGAGAATGGGCAGCGACAACAACAGAGGCGGCGCATGGAGAGACAATGAAATGCTGGACCGGTTGGATTGGGTTGCCTGGGAGTGCTGTTTTTTATAATCTGGTTGGTGTCGAAGTCAGATGAGTAGAAAGGAGTAGATCTGCAAAATAGGTGCAGTTTTGGTATATCACTACCGGAGCTGCGCCAACGCCAATCGTGATTAGTGTTCATGCTGGGAAGTGGGAATTTCTGCCAGATATAACAGTTCTAACTAGGTTTGCCATATAAATGGCTCTCACACCATGTGAAATATATGATTATATTCATTATACTTCATATTGAAATGCTATGCAAGTAGCTCTATTTTTATACACAAATGAGCTCAAGCCCAATACTACTAGGGTTTCCACATATATAAATAAAGAACTTCCTATTCAGAGCAACTTTTTGAGTAAAATATTAGTCATGTGCTTTTGAGAACTGATTGAATCAAATATAAGAGAATAAATTTTTTGGTTCCCTACATGCTAATTGCTAATTGCACACATGTAAAACTGAAGAATAAAAAAGACGCATCTGCTCACCTTATCAATAGAAATATAATATAATGTGTAGCAAATTAGTCATACCAAAATACTTGATTGCGACATACCTTCTCAGGTCTTGTTTCAACTTTAAAATGAAGCAATCCCAAACAAAGTACCAGAACAATAGCCAAAGATGAGCATAGAACAGATAAGGGATGCCTTGCAACCCATGTTCCATATACCCTGCTAGACAACAATTACGTCATATTTTAGGGAATAAAGGCTTATGCAAAGTGCTATCTAAGTTCCTTGATATAGCGATTTCATATATTGATTCATGTTAGCCGACCCCAGATTGTTTTTAGACTAAGGCGTGAATGTTGTTAGATGTTGTTGTATCTTAGTTCCTTAATTAATACTCCCTTCGTCCCTCCGGGCTCCAACCCATTTATGTGTCATCCAAGAAGACTTGAATCAAATTATTTACCACTCAGTCTTTTGTGATGTGCGTAGTATAATTTAGAATCAGTAGATGAATTTTGGGTCTTCACGAACTACATAAAGGGTTTAAACGCGAAAAATAAAAATAAAAACAGAGAACAATGATTACTTGGTTTGACTAATGAAAAGATTTGGGTAGGAATTTTATTATGTCAAAGTAAAGTACAACAGATTGTTTTTATAAGCTAAAACTACCTTAATTAAGAAAATAAGAAAATATGTACAAAACATCTAATTGATAGTAGTACTGCGGAATCAAATCAAAATAAAAACAAACCTCTTATAATTAACTTAATATTCTATTATTAAAACACTCCCCCTCAAGATGGTGAGTGGATATTTATCATTCTCAACTTGCACGTAAGATCTTGAAGTTGTTCTAAGGGAGGACCTTTGGAGAGGAAATCAATGATAGAAACCGATCCTCACAGCAAACAGTAAAGAAAGAGAGGCCTCACTCTCCCAGTTCCTAGCCCAAGCCAAGTTCTGCCCTCCCTCCTTTTCCCCCTATCACCTCATTATTATAATACTATCCTAAAGGGCCGGTCCTCCACCACTAAGTATTGTCCTATAACCCTTTTATTATGCAATATTAAAATACCTAATATTATTCTTGTTAGGGGGAGTGTCCAGGTCCCTATCAACAAACCACTTGACACCAGAAATATTAGAGGTAGATGTAGGCCCCAACACATCCGAATGAACAAGATCAAAAGTTTTTGAGCATTTACTATTACTAGGAAGAAAAATTGTTCGGTGATGTTTAGCATACTGATAGACATCACAATTAAATAATTCAACTGATACGTTGTAAACAAAAAGAGAAATAACAACTTAAGGACACTAAAAGGAGGATGACCAAGATGCCTATGTTGAAGCCATATCTCGGAGGAAAATCAAGATTCTGAACCCATTTGAGGATTGGGTGCGAGTTTCTTTTGTTTTCTGCATTCGTTATTGTCTTCTAAAACAATTAGCCCATATCTTTAATATAACACTCAGCCCATGAAAACAATAGGGTAAAACCTACGTAAAACTAAGAATCTAAGTACGTAAAAACGTAAAACTTGCGCGAGACACTAGAGCTATCATCACTAGCCATCCTTGCCCTTCACTCTCCTCGCTCTCCTCACTCGACACTCAAGCTGCTCTACACTAGCCAGTTCTTTCATCTTTCTTCATCATCTCAAGCAAACTCAGCTCTCCCTCGCAGCACTAAACAAGGTATGTCTTCTTTTTCATGCAATCCTCTTCATCCAAATACTTATATTACACAAGTGTCTAAATATTATAGTGTAAATGTGTAATAAAGTAAATAATACTACGTATTAGTATATTAGTATGTACGTAGTATATAATACTCATAGTACTTGAATATATGTACTCTGGTTTGTGGTTTTCTAAAGATATTACTCTATAATCTTTTGAGTATATTAAGTTCTTAACTTTAAATATATTACTCAGTTCTGTGTTTTATACAGATATTACTCTGTTTGACCCAACCAAAGTAAAACATGGCTGTTAACGAAGGGCTGAGTAAAATATGTTTTTCAAAGTGCCGTCTTACATGGATGTAAGACAAGTCTCTTAATATTAATTCAATAAATAAGAAAGAATACTAATCATTACTCCCTCCGTCCCTTATAACTTTGCGAATTTTCATTTTTTAGTTGTCCCGCTAACTTTGCCACTTTCCTTTTAAATAAAGAATTTTTTGTTCTTGTTAATTATCTCCTCTGCACAAACCTCAACCCTAAGTAGTTTACTCGCTACTCGGTAGCAACTCGGTCAAGGGCCGAGTAGCGAGTAGGACCGATTACTCGGGATTACTCGGTGAGTACTCGGCCTAGTATTAATTAAATATAATAATATATTTAAGTATAGTAGTCTTAATATATAGTAATAAAAATTGTCTTTAAATTGTCTTAAAATGCATAAAAGTGAATAAAAGGATAGAAATCCCATTATCCTAATGATGGAGTAGCAAATGTCATAAAGCTAAAGTGATAAAACAGTCAATCATCTAATAAGTTGGTCTGATATTAATCTTCATTGGGTTCAAGGTCGTGATTTTCGTCTTCATCCTCCATGTCCCCAAATAGATCTTCTCCAAATAGATCTTCAGTAGTCAGATTCCCCACTTGTTCTTCCTCTTCCACTTTCACCAAAAAAACACCACACTAAAGATTTTTAGTAGCATCTCTGTTCTCTCCCCATGTCCATCCTATATCATCAGATTTTCTCTTAAGTGTAGTAGCAGTAGATTCAACACCATTAGAGGCCTGGCCAGACTGAGCAGAGTTCATGACTGTAAATGAAAAACAAAATTGTGAGTGTGTATCTATCATGAAGGACAGAAGGGGGCTGGGCAGAATAAGAAACGAGACAGGGTCAACGGGGAGGGGAATAATCTCAATTTAATTCTTTAACAAGAGGGAAGAATGAGGGAAAGAACTAACCTGCAGGTCCTCGCAGCAGCCCTTTAGCAATCGCAGGTCTTCCGCAGTAGCAGTCGCAGCCTCGCAGGTCCTCCCCAGTAGCAGTCCCAGCCTCGCAGGTCGTAGTAGTACCAGTCGCAGCTCCAGGGAGAAGAATCGCAGCTTTTGTATGCGCAGTTTTTTTTGGGTCGAAGCTCCAAGCGCAGTTTTTTTTTTGGTTTTCCAAGCGGAGGTAATTTTTTTTAAATACCGAGTACTCCTGAGTAAATCGCCTATTTGACCCACTGACCGAGTTGCCTAACTCGCCGAGTAACTCGGGAAATTAACTCGGTCCGAGTTATGTGCTACTCTGCAAGGTCATAGGCCGAGTAGGGAGTACTCGCCGAGTACTCGTCGAGTACTCACCGATTAAATAACCCAGGCTCAACCACACAGCTTTTACTTTATTATTTTACGTACTAGTCAATTTTGGCAATATTATAACGGATTTCCTTGCTTGGAATTGAAAACTTTATTCTCCACTTCATGACAGGGTTGAGAGATCATGTTTCAGTAGGGAAAAACATATAATTTTGACTAATCTTTGGACTCATAGAGCGTCAAAAGTCAAAATCATGTCATTATAAGAGAATACTCATCAACCCATGTGTCATATGTTGAATCGTCGTTACAAGGGTTCTTCCTTCAATGTGACTAATTCTCTTGCGTCCTCTAAGAGTGGTCCAAATAAGTTGAGCCCACTAAAGGTAATTGTATTTTTCCAACCGGTATGACCCTTGAAATGGTGGAGAGACAAGGTGGCTAAAAAAGATCTTGACGATGGAAGAAATGGTGACCAAGAGAGTGAAGTGGACAGGGCAAAGTGACTAGGAAAAACAAGTCGTAATACGAACGGCTAGGTTTTTCTGTGAAGTGCACAAAGAGAGTCTGCATAATTGAATGGCTTTAATACTAACTTCAAAGGTAGAATCTTTATTAAGTCAGAAGTAAAATACAACTGATAATTTTTATAGGCTAAACCTAATTAAGGAAATAAAAAGATCTATTCAATCTCCTAATTGATCCTATGGAATCAAATCATAATAGAAACAAATCTTTTAGAATTGAATAAATATTCTATTGTTACAACAAAAGGAATTATAATAGATAAAATAACAACAAGTAGGTTTATAGATATTAAACATACAATATGCGGTCACCTGAAAAAACTTGACAAGTACCCTTGCACTATTGAAAGTTGAACGCTACTTGAAATATGTGGTGCATCCTCGAACATCTAATAAATTAAGAAAGAACAAGAGAGGGAGAGATGTGTCATATTTATCTCATAACATCATATTTCTAGATAACGATGTGAAAACATGTTCCTAGAATTTAGTTAGCTATCACAAGATGAACTCATGGATATGTAGCCACTTCATGCACATGATTAGAGTACTCTTTCAAAAAATAAATGCACAACTCTTAATGTTTTTTCACATAAAGATTTGTTTATTAAATATAATTGTTGCTTCAAGCTTCATACTTGAAAACTTAAACCATGAAATCAGGCTAAAAGTATAGTCAATAAGCATTGTGAAATATATTAGAATATGCTATAGAATATTTTAGGAATAAAATCTAAGATATTATTATTGTATATAGAATCTTATAGGAATACTCTATCTTTGTAATGTATAATTACCCTTCAATGAAATACACAGGAAATCATTCTCTTCTCACTAATATTCTAGCTTAATTCAGTTTACATGGTATCAGAGTACATCTATTTCATTTCAACTTAGTTTCGATATTTTTGTGTTTTCTGTCAGAACCTCAGTTTAGAACATCAGCCAACACTAAACTTCAGAACCTCAGCCCATAACCTACCTCACCCACCCTACGCTGGTGCACCTTCCACTGGTGACCAGACACTCGAAATCCGCTCATCTAAACTGACGCACGTGAGCTACACGCGCCATCGGGGATTCTTTCTAATGTGGAGAAAGGGGAGAAAAAACTGTGCATCTATTGATATATTCACCATATGGCAGGTACCTGCATTGGCACATTCTTGTCTCTTTTCTTGTTAATTTGGAGGATGACACCCGTATCAGGAGCACTTATCAATGACTTTGTCCTGGAATCTGGCCTTCTTTCTTTTCTCCTTCGAAGAAAACCCCATCCAAGAAAAAAGGAGACCAAGACGATATAAGTTATTGCTGCAGAAACTTCAATACATTTTGCCTGCATTAACTGAACCAATTAGTGTGACAGATTTACATGATTGGTGACTTGGTGTAATTGAGCAGGAAGAGAAAACATTTGATTTTCTACGTAAAAAACCTTGTCCCCCATCTAGAAATCATCATGTTTATGTGAACTGCCTTATATGAGGGCCACGCAAAAGAAATGCGGAGAAGTATTTTGGAAGGAATCTTCCTATTGCATAATTATTATTATCATATATCATTATTAACTTCCTTTTATTAATATTAGTATTACTATTAGTTTCGTAATGATATTATATCTGTTTATTCCTTGTCCAGTTTTAGTCAACTTCTCATTAACCTTAATTCTATGTTTTCTACTATGATTAGGGCTCTTACAAAAGCTACATAAGGAGACATAACATTGATTTATGTTAGCTATTTTAAATTTACTCGTACATATCTATTTAGTTGTAATTAGATAACTATTGTACCTAGTCAGGATTGTTAGCATAATTTTAGCTTAGATCCTGTTTTTTAGGAGTTAGTTGTTAGTGATGTATTCTATTTAAATTGACAGTCTCTGAATGAAAGAATCATTCCGCCTAAATCAGTTTAGCTTTCATGGTATCAAAGCCGCTGATCACTCAGCCGCTAATCTGTCTCAGCCGCTATTCTTTCAGCCGCTGATCACTCAGCCGCTGATCTGTCTCAGCCGCTATTCTTTCAGCCGCTGATCAATCATGAAATCTCCTTAGGTAGTGCCGATTCAACCCGTGAATCCAGTCACACTGGCGGTGCAAATCCCACATCTCAATCTGATTCTTTTCAGAATATTTTTATTACTTCCCATAAATTAAATGGGAGTAATTACCTCCAATGGTCTCAGACTGTCAAATTGTTCGTTCAAGGACGGGGAAAATTTGGATATCTCACCGGATCCACAGCCAAGCCGGAGGAAGGAGAGGAAGGACTTGATCAATGGGAAGTCGAGAACTCCATGATCATGTCATGGCTTGTGAATGCGATGGATTCAGATGTTGGTCTTGCTTACTTGTTTCTACTAAGTGCACATGAAATCTGGACTGCCGTCAAGGAAACATACTCAGACTTCGGAAATGTCAGCCAACAATTTGAGATTAAGAATCAATTAAATAAAGCACGACAAGGAGACAAGAGTGTCACACAGTACTACACTAAATAGAGCACTCTGTGGCAAGAGTACGATCTGTTTTGCAACTACACCTGGAAATGCGCAGCAGTTAGTGCTTTATATAAAAAGACCATCGAGAAGGAGAGGGGGTCTTTGACTTTCTGGCTGGACTAAACAAGGAACTTGATGAAGTTTGAGGTCGAGTACTTGGAAAAGACCCACTGCCCAGCACACGGGAAGCGTTTGCAGAAGTTAGGAGAGAAGAAATCCGTCGGCATGTGATGCTTGATGCTGAAATTTCATCAAATGCTGAAACTGTAGCGCTAGCCACTTCAAAAGCCGATGAGAAGCCAGAATTGTAACCTCAACTATTTCAAAAGAAAGAGAACAGACCTGTTTGTGACTACTGTCACAAGATTGGGCATATCAAAGCTAACTGTTGGAAGTTACATGGCAAACCAGCTAACTTTACACAAACAAATAGGTCACAGCGCAATTCCAGAGGTGGTTTCCAGGTCTCTTCAGAAGAATCTAATGCTTATCTATCCTCCAGTGACAACTCATCCATCAAGGAAAATTTAGATCAATTGTGTCGTGAGATCATTTTTTTGGTATCATGTCTGTCCCAAACCAGAATAAAGGAGGAGGGTGATGTGGTAGGCGCGTGACGGCCAACAGTATCACTTAGTCACATCACATGACATGAATCGAAATATGAATATCGCTACAGCTAGGTCGTCGCCCGTAAGCGACGTGTCATCCCTCCGCCTGGGGGTAGTGTCAAATGAGGAAGGGCGCGCTACACTTCATAAGCCTGTGTGTGGTGATAAGAATGCTAAGGCTGTTAGGTCGTCGTTCGGAAGCGACGCGCCACTCCAATGCCCGGCGATGGTGTCAAATATGAAAGGGCATGGTGGGGGTCGATGTGAGGTGAAGAAGAGAAGGCAGGGTATTAGATTGCGTTTTGGGACATGGAATGTTGGCTCTCTTATGGGAAGATCATCTGAGATAGCCGAGGTTATGAAGAGGAGGAATATCAACATAATGTGCATGCAAGAAACTAAGTGGGTTGGAGAAAAGGCACGTGAGATTAATCCCGGAGGTAAGCTTTGGTACTCTGGGAGAGAGAGGAACAGAAATGGAGTAGGCATTATGGTGGCACATGATTATGTTGACGGTGTGGTTGAAGTCTTTAGGAAGAACGATCGCATCATGAGCATTAAGTTGATAATAGGGGATGAGATCGTGTCCGTGGTTAGTGCCTATGCACCACAAGTGGGATTGGATGCATCTATCACTCAACAATTTTGGGAGGATCTTGAGGAAGTGGTGCGACGAGTGTCAAGGAGAGAGAAACTGGTCATAGGAGGCGACCTCAACGAGCATGTGGGCCCAAGTCGTGATGGTTTTGAGAGTGTCCATGACGGACATGGTTTTGGCACTAGAAATGAAGCGGGGAAGAACATTCTGGATTTTGCCTCGACATATGAGTTGGCTGTGATGAACACTTGGTTCAAGAAAAGAGACTCTCACCTTGTCACCTATAGAAGTGGAGCTAATAGTACCCAAATCGACTACTTTTTAGTACAGACGACTTGGAGAACTAGCTACACTGATTGTAAGGTTATCCCAGGTGAGAGTGCTGTCACTCAGCATAGGATGTTTGTGCTTGATTTTTGAGGTAAAAAGAGGAGACGAGTTAAGGTACAAGGAGAGCCAAAGATAAAATGGTGGAGGCTCGAGGGGAATCTCCAACAAAGTTTTGCACACAAAATGTTGGAGGAAGATGTTTGGTCTATTGATAATGACGCACACATGGATGATGTGTGGTTATCAATGGAGTCCACCATTAACAAAGTGGCGAAGGAGATACTCGGAGAATCTAAAGGATGTCTACCACCAAAAAAGGACACATCTTGGTGGAATGATGAGGTGAAACAAGCAATAAGGACCAAAAGGGAATGCTATAAGAAATTGGGCAAAAGTTGGAGTGACGAGAACAATAGAGCCCCACAAAGAGGCTAGAAGAAGAGCAAAGAAAGCTGTGAAGGAAGCCAAAGGAAAAGTGAACAAGGAATTGTATGTAAAGTTGGATTCTAAGGAAGGAGAAAAAGATATCTACAGACTTGCTCGCCTTCGTGACCGTAGGACTCAAGATATCGGAAAAGTTAAGTGTGTGAAGGATGTCGATCAAAGGGTACTAATGGACGATGAAGAAATAAAAGAGAGGTGGAGGTCATACTTTGAACCTTGTTCAACGGGAATAAAGTCCAAAGTATTGATGATCTTACTGTACCAGAGTGTATGGTAAATAGGGACTTCGTGAGAAGGATTCAAACAACAGAAGTTAAAGAGGCTATGAGAAAAATGGGCCAGAAGAAAGCATTGGGCCCAGATGACATACTGATCGAGGCTTGGAGAAGTTTGGGAGAGAAAGGCATCGAGTGGCTAACACGTTTCTTCAACATGATTTGGAGAAACAACAAAATGCCAGTGAGTTGGCGGAAGAGTACTCTCATTCCCTTATTTAAAAATAAGGGTGATGTACAAGAATGTGCTAACTATCGAGGGATTAAGCTTATGAGTCACACCATGAAACTTTGGGAGCGAGTGGTTGATCAATACTTCGTAAAAGTGTGAAAATTTTGGAGAATCAATTATGTTTTATGCCTGGACGCTCAACAACTGAGGTCATTCACCTTCTTAGACAAGTTGTGGAGAAGTATAGAGACACTAAAAAGGATCTGGATTAGGTGTTCATCGACTTAGAAAAGGCATATGATAGGGTACCTCGAGAAGTTCTTTGGTGGGCCTTAACTAGAAAAGCCATATCATGTAAGTATATCAGCATCATCATGGATAAGTATGATGTTTGTACTACAAGTGTTCGCACTTGTGTAAGGAGGACCGCAGAGTTCCCTATTACTATCGGAGTGCACCAAGGATCTGCTCCGAGTCCTTTCTAATTTGCTATAGTCATGGATTAACTTACGAAGTCAATTCAAGAAGATATACCGTGGTGCATGATGTTTGCCGGCGATATTGTATTGATTGATGAGACACAGTCCGGTGTTAAAGCAAAGTTGGAAGTATGGCGACAAACATTGGAGAGCAAGGGTTTCAGATTATAGCATGATTAAAAAAGGTTGATTTAGGTGTTTCAAACACACAAAAGGTTATAAGTGTTTTGATGTGAGCTCGGGTAAAATGTTTGTCAGTATGGATGTCACATTTTTTGAAAATCAACCTTTTTTAATCAAACTTCTCTTCAGGGGGAGCATTTAGTGAATGATGAAGATAAGTTTTGGAAATGCAATGTGCTTCATATTCATGTTTTTAATGACCAAACTGAGTTAGCCAATGACAAACATACCATAACAAATATCCGACCCCAAATTCTTTTGGGATTAAGGTTTGGATGTTGTTGTATAAAGATTCTGCAACTATGAGAAACATGGCACCAACTACTGAACTTCGTGTTTACTCAAGAAGGAAAGAGAGGCAAAGGGTTATTCAACAACTCACTGATGCACAACCAATCCCTACCCCAAGTCCTGCTCCAGGTAATACACTTATTCTCCATCCAACTCCTGAAAAAATCATGTGTCTGACCGCAGTAATTTAAATCCTACTTCTGAGTCAGTTTCTATGCCTAACCAAAGTGATCTCAATGAACCAATAGCCATTAGAAAAGGAGTTAGAGAATGTACCAAACACCTAATCAGTAACTATGTGTTATCATAACCTATTGTTAGAATATACATATGTAATAGTCAATATATTCTATGTATATATATGGTAGCTAATATATTCACTGCGATAGACTAAATATTCTAGGTAAATCTGGCAGATTTAGTTTCTTTTTTTGTATTCTCTAACTTGTA